CCTCATGGGGAGAGTTACTCTAAACTCATCCACTCTGGAGTTTTCCATCGCACAAGGTACACTGTAAACTCATTTAAAAATGATTAAAATTCTCGCATTGCCTTCAGTGAAAAGCAATTTAGTATTATTCCTTTACTTTGCTGTTTTGTCATATGGTTCTCTACAATCTGTACCAGATTTGTAATAGTGCTTTTCTGCTTATGCATGCTACGGCTCAGCATACTTGCCGAACTTCGAAAGAAATTAATATTTTCTTTGTTTGTTTGTGCTTTTTTTGTGGTATTCTGAATTGTTGTTATGCGCCAACAATACAAATTAAAATATCTCTATTATCTAAGAATTATCGAGAAATTGTTTTAGGAATACTGAAGGTTTTTAAATATTTCTATGTTCTTGACCATAGAAATCGTATATAAAATGAGTTTTCGTCTGGTGCGGAAATTCATATATTCTTACTCTGAACTTTCCATAAGTAAGAGAGGCTCAGGGAGTCTCACTGCCTGAAGCAGATTTTTTGTTTCTGTTCAAAGGATTACATAGGTGTCTGACTTGGGGTGTAATAAGGAGAGGTGCCTCTAGAGGGAGGCTTGTGAACAACAATCTCTTCCAAAAGGTCACCTAGAGGAGGTGACTTAGTTGAAGTCAGGTGATGAAGTGAGGTCCCTCTAGAAGGGGAATCGTGGACCACAACAACAATTTGCTCTGAGGGGTCACCTGCAGCAGGCGTCTGATTTGGGGTGATATAAGTAGATTAGCTACTAGGTGCATAATGCTTGCATCATCTGCAACAGTTTCGGTCAAAGAGCCAGTTGTAGGGGATGTGTCACTGAATGGAGGTTGAGTTTTCGTCTCTGCGTAAGGAGCCTCTCCGTGACAACAACGAGATCAAAGAAGCAATAATGGTCAACAGCGTGCTCCTTAGCGTTTGATCTTCAGTTCCTCTTCCATCGATCAACCTTCCGACAAATATTGCCGTGACCATTAGGTGAACAACAGCTAGAAGACCCAAGAACACAACTACCCGAAAGATCGCGATAGGAAATGATATTTAAGCTCTTCCTTTCCCTTATATAAAGTAAGATATACGTAGACTGCGCAATGAAGGCGGCAAAAATAAAGCATACTATGAGCGTAAGAGTCAAGCTCCGTATCGGGTTCAGGAATATGCCAATCAACATCCAAAACGAACAGGAGCTTATGGTGACTGCACTTATGAAAATAAAATGTATTTCCATTTTTCGCAGACAACAGACCTCCAGGAGGCCGAACGAGGCTCTGGACTGTATTTCGTAAAAGAAACGAGCAATAGCGCACAATAACTATAAAACATGACAGAAAATCCTAGTGAAAATCCCAAATACTATTTATCCAATTTAGATGTAATCATAACAACATTAACCCAGAAAGGGATACTTAAACACGCTGTCGCATGTTTTGAAATAAAGGAGCTTTTACCAAGTTTTTTCGCCCTTTTTCTTTCCCGTTATTCAAATGTCGACTCCCTGTTTTATTTGACTGACTTTTTCCCCGAAAATACACAAACAAGATAACTTGAGCAGGTAAAAATGCTAAACTAAAACTAATAGGACCATAGTAAAGTGATATGAAGCTTGTCTTTAGTTTTGTGGTTTCAATGTTTGACCCATTGCCCTCTGTAACACATTCCACTGTGTTTGACGTTAGATCCCGGATCTCTGGTGATCTGGCCAGATATTGAAGTTGCATGGCATCAACATTACAAACTTTATCAAAATTTTACAAATCTAAAATGATGCAGAGATTAAGGTACACTTATTTCTAAAGGCAAAATAATCGCTAAAATCTGTAAAAATAGTAACTCTTCAACCTTTAAAAAATCCCCATCGCGATTCCTTCAGCCGGTCATGGTTGGAAACAACTCAGATCACGGCCTTTGCTTGTCTCATCGACGAGAATTTACCGAAATGGATTATTTCTATTAATTTTGTCTTGGAGCGATTAAAACAGAAATTTGTTTGGAGACTATTTCTGAGGAAAGGCTGATAGTTTCAAAAGAAACTGTTTGGGGCTGCGTCGGTGGGAGTAACGAAATAATTTGGATATATCAACAAAGTTGAAATGGTAAATTGGCCACCGTAACGATTACAAAAGCTGACGTTTCGAGCGTTAGCCCTTCGTCGGAGCGAATGACGCTCTATTTCCCATAATCCGCTCGTTTATTTATGAACACGAGACAATTTCCTTGTGACACCTGTTTAATCAGTGTACTTTTCGTAGGCTTCCCAGAAGAAAGAACCGATTTGCACTTACTGAAGCGAGAACTCTTTTACTGGAAACATTGCAACAGAAGTGTGGAATCGTCAACCTTAAGTTTTGAGTCCTAGGTGTTACATGGATAGATCCAAGCGAAGCAATTTCCAGGAGGGGGCCGGAAAAGCAACATACACACAAGATAAGCTCCAAGTGTACTTTGCCATGGGGCTTTCTGTTTTGTTGGAACCATACACATTAACAAACACGCGGACAGGGGAGGCTGGATACAGAGCCGACTGAATGTTAAAACGGTTTTCTGACTTTGCTAAGCTGTTATAAAGCTGCTCGTCAGTATGGATGCAAGAAGATGAGCCTCTCCCAGAAGGCGGGGGGGAGGGGGGTACATGTTCCCTTGATCCCTTAATCTTTTTGGATTTTATCCCTTGTTCCCCATTTATAAAACCCCTTGTTCACAAAAATGTTTTTAGCTCATGTTCCCTTGATCCCGAAAATTTTTGCACTGTTCCCTTGATCTGTATTCCGCTGATTCAGGTACTAACAACAGTCAAAAGCCCGTGGGTTGCCCTAGTGGATGTGTGTTGGAGCTTCGAATTGATCGGCGCATTATTTCTATGTTTCAGGCTGCAAGTGGCAATAGTTAGGATGCTGATGATGAGACTGTTGTGCTTTATCTCTGATTTTCAACCCAGGCAATTGGCAATTAAGACGGAATTACAAATCGACTCATCTTCTTCATCTACATAAATCAGAAACGCATAGAAGTAGCTTTTTCAATTTGAAAAAATGTATTTACTATCTCATATATTAATCTAATAGGGCCATATCAAGTTAGGCCCCAGTTATGATTTAGCATAATACCAACCAATAGCAAACAGAAATGGAAGGCTGCTTAATTTGCACAAAATTATGAAACAGAATGACTTCTTCTTTACAGACTCAAATCATAACCATGTCAACAAAAAAATTATAATCCCAGCTACTGCTGAAAACTCAATATAAGAAGGAATAATTTCCCTTTCATGGATATACACGCTCACGCTAACTTCTTTCGCTATGAATAAAGCAAAGAATATTACCAAGAAAAACCACACAGGAAATCCATGATCGTCCTTTTCTTAAGCAAGAACAGTTCGTGCTGTTTTTGCATTAAAATGGCTCAAACAGTGTTGAAAACAGAAAGAAAAGGACTAAAATTGGTATTATACGCCAACTGTGTTCTGTAGCAGAAAGATTTAGTTGATGTCCCTCTGTGATTGACTCAGCAGAATTCAGTTGTGGTTCTCGTATTCCTGGACTAACAGCTAAATCTTGAAGCTATGAAACATAAGACAGAAATAGGATAAGTCAAACATAAAGATGGTTTTAAACGAATCAGTAAACAAAACTTAGATGAGCCATGGGTGTAGCAAAATTTGGGAAAATGTTTAGACGCAGAACAGTGAAATCCTGTTGGATGATTTCTTCCGAATTGATGTGAAGAAACAAGCTATGATGTGGATGATGTAATATATTAAGTACCCTCTAAGGTTACTGTGTATGTACCAGAATACATTGCTGGAATAAAGTTGTGTTGAAGCGGCCATGTTGTTTGACCTCGTGGGTTTATATCACTAGCAATATATTACAGATGAAATGATCGTAATGTTAAAGAAAAGGTTGTTAGCAACACATCATTTTTATTAATTTGTGGTAAAGTCTCTAAATTTCGGCTTTCCGGAGAAATACTTAACACATCGGCTGGATGCAAATCAGAGGAAACGTTCACGATACGTCCGGTTTCCATTGAATAAGAGTGTCAAACTCCAGTAATCCGTGGTTGATAGCCACTCTCTCTTGCTATTCGAAGCTTCTACTATATATTCAAAATTTAAAATCAATCCCTTTTCCTATAAACATTTAAGAAAAAAAAAAAAAGCTGTTAACAGCCTAACTGTTTATCTAAACCCTCTTCACTTAACGACTAATGGCTAATCGTAAGCTCGACTGACCTATATTTATCGCTTGTGCTTATGACAGACGACTGTGGAGTCACTGATTCTAGTCACTAAAACCTTGCAAAACCTTGAAATTTATACATCAAAATCTCATATTGTGTCTAATAAATCTGAAATGTATGATGTCAAAACTTGCGTCGAAACACTGAACCCTGTTTGTCTTTGATTTTTCGGAAGGTGCACTACAAGTTTATAACTTAAAAAAATCTTATGAAACAGGTAGAGAGTACCTACCCCGTGAAGAAGACGTGGTCTTTTTCACCAAACCAAACGATCAAGTGCAATGACACCAAAATTAGATATCTATAATTTTCCTTTAAGCCTGTGAAGACGGGAGTCGAACGACTGCAGATCACTTCGGTTTAGTGTGAATAATGTCACGCTGTATTTACCAGAAAGAAAAGGGAAGTTGTAAACTATAAACCCACATACCTATAATACACGAGTCTTTAACAGTTTAAATAATTAAGAGAACCGATCTTCTATGGCTGTCTAATCGATATTTGAACTCAAGGTTAATGGAGAAGGAGAAGTCTGATATCATGAGAAATTTACCTTACCGATAAACAGGCTGAATGTTTCCACACGACTTGACTTCTAATCAAACAATATTTTTAGCTTCCAGTGAATACAGTTGATAATGGCGTTGTGACAACTGGAGCCACGGTCAGCTATTGTAAATAATACTCAGATATATTTTCGAGTGAATGCAAGCTGATTCTTTTTCGAGTTGACTTGAAGATGGATCTTCAGTTTATTTTGAAGTTTCACAAGTTTATTGGATGGTAATAAATCCAAACGATACTTTACACGATTTCTTATGGAATCAGAGTCACACACTGACGAATAAATCTACCTGAACTGATCACACCAGCAAAAATAATTCCTATCACTTTAGCTTAGGTAATTTACCTAGTCTAGTTTAACTAAGTCAACAATCAATAGTGGAGAACAACTATGCTCGAGAGTCAAACCGAGTTTGCCTAAAATACAATGACATCTTGGAAAACGTCACATATGACAAACTTCTACAAAGAAAAAATTACTCTTTGCTAGATCCTAATCTAGAGTCAATCTTAATTTTGTACTACATATAGTAATACAACAACACAGCCTTTTCGCTTGTGTACCTAATCATTTTTTTTCTTCAGCAACTGTAAATAATGTCGCTTTTTCCCTAGCTACTAAAAACCTCCACAACAGGTCGTTGTTCCATTGACGACCCCAATGTTGGAAAAGAAATCTATTTCATTAATTTCTACAGTTTTATAAAAAATGCTGTACTTCTAAAAACAATTAGATGTATGAGGAATAGCATCTTATCTTATAATAGCATTAGCTTGAATTATTATGCAGCATGTCAAATTTATCATTAAGTAATAACTTCTCCCTTGAAAACCAATACATTATCTAGCACATAGGAAAAAAGAAAAGATAACTGTATCAGCCAGACTGGCTTTTGTATTGATACAATGCCAAATACTCTCCACTGAGTTACCAGAAAGTGATTAGTAAATGAACGGACAATTCTTAATCCCATGTTTATAGTCAAGGAGACATTTTCCGTTGGTTTACATATACCATAATATTAAGGTTTACAGTGAAACAAATGAAGAACCGTACATATGAAAACAAATTTTATCTTGAAAAAAGATGTTTTTTCATCTGGTCACTAGCAAGAGATGAAGGAAAAATTGAATTCTGAGTTCCCTTGAGAAATTTAATGTTTAAAGGCACTTTTGTTGTTAGCTGTCATTTTTTGGTTTTTGCTCTTCCAGCGATTTTTTTTTTCAGATTGAGAGGCTAGATTTAAGTGTTTGGATAAGTTGATCAATTTCCATCGCCATGATGGCTTATTAGTGGTTGCATTTCGACACGATGCTCTGGAACCTGACGATTTTGCGACAGTGAAGGAGTAGTCTGAACAGACCTACTTTGCCCATCACCAGATTTGTCACTTTTACTAACCCACTTCTACTAATATAGCCATGAAAAGAATATAGAGATTAAATACATCACTGCTTCTTTCAAAGCTTCATTGGCAGTATCTCTCCTACTATATGACTGCCCAGAAAAAAGCACCATAGCAATAAGACCATAGACAGCTAGGAACCCAGCAAAACAAGAGGAGAACGACTGACAACAATCCCAACTACGGGAATCGGTGGTGATATTTCCGTGGTTTTTTTAGAAGTTATTGAAGACACGAAGGTATAGAATGCAAAGGTTACAACACCAATAATAAGGCAAACTAGGAGTAGAACTAGACCCCAGATAGGATTCAGCATTATACCAACTAAGAGCCAGCAAAAATGGAAGGCTGCTAAATTTGAACAAATTATGAAAAAGAGTGACTTCACCTCTACGGTGCGCACTACTGATTGATTGTTCTGGTTGTCCGTTTTCCCTTTACATAATGCCACAGAAAAGACAAACACTCCAACTCCTACTAGGACCGGTTGTATTGCCTCAAATACTCCTATGGCCGGTTGTTTTACATCAATACAAGGAGGATCAAGTTCCCTATCGGAGACACATGTATAGACTGTTATCTCTTTTGCTATAAATAAAGCACAGAATGTTAATAACAAAAACACGCACAAGAAATTTGTCCTTTTCTTAATCAATGACAGTTCGTCCCGTTTTTGCGTTGCATAAAAGGCTAACAATGGCCCAAACAGTGTTGAAAAGAGAAAGGAGAAGACTAAAATTGGTATTATCCGCCAACTGTGTTCTGTAGCAGAAAGATTTAGTTGATGTCCCTCCATGAGACAGTCAGCCGAATTCAGTTGTGGGTCTCGTAATCCTGGAAGAACAGCCAAATCTTGAAGCTATGAAACAGAAGACAACCAACATAAGTCAAACAAAAAGATGGTCTCAGGGAAAAGAAATTAATTCCCTGACTCTTGTACAGTTTGCCAAATAACTCAGATCAAGGGAAATATGCAATAGTGTTCTCCACAAAGATGGAAAAGGGATAGATGAAACAAAAAGGTCTATAAACAAACTTATACGAGAGTAGGGGAGGCGGGTTGGGACGTAGTTGAAAATCAAACATATCAAGACTCCTCATTTTCAGTCCTTATTGACTGATTCATGGATGAGGGCAAGAAAATTATAGAAAAAACTTTATCAACGAAGAAAATGAATCCTTGTTAGATCTTAAGCTAGACTCAATCTACATTTATACAACAAACAGTAACACAACAATACAGCCATTTCGCTCGTGTTCCTGAACTGTGTTATCATGAACTGAATAAAAAATCTTGCCCCCTCTCTTGTTACTAAAAAACTCCCTGACAGATCGTTTTTTAGTTTAAACCGTTATGTTGAGAAAATATTTATTAAAATTTCCGTAATTGCGTATTTACTACACAACCGACATTACCACTTATGTTATTGTGCTTAGTTCCTCGTGATGCAAAAAATTTCAGTGAAGTGTCGAAATCTTCAATTTTGTTGTCAAATGTGTGAGTTTGCAGACAAGGGGCAACCAATGATAGGAAATAGTTTTCCTGCCATTTCATAACTATTTTGACCTTTCAAATTTTGAAAAAAAGAAGACAAAGCGATCGCAAAGAAAAATGTTATTCTATATATGGAGATCGGCGAGTATTGAGCCAACGAAACCAGATTCTGCTACACGTTGCTCTCTCTGGTTATCTCTTTTTCTCTTTGTTTCTCGTTAACTGACTCAATATTTTCACCATTCTCCAATAAAGGATAACCTGCTTGGCTTTTATCTAGAGCGCCCGATTGTTTCTCTTCTGACTTTTGGCTTTTGTTCAGAAGCCTCTTCCAAGACAACCACGAAATGAAAGAACCAAGAGCAGTCATAAGTATGGTTTTCAGTGTTTCATCAGCAGTTTCTCTCCCATTAAATGACTGACCGGCGAATACTATTACCGGAATTAGAAAAATAACAGCAAGAAAACCCAACAAACCAGGAAATAGAGCATGGAGTTTATTAGGTTTTACCTTTTCCTGTTTGCAGCTAACTAAAGTAAGATATTCGTAGACTGCATAAGTAAAGGAGGCAAATGTAAAGCATATTACGAGCGTAACAGTCAAGCCCCAAGTTGGGTTAAGCATTATGCCGATTAACATCCAACAGGAACAGAAACTAGTAGTGGCCGCACATGTAAAGGCGACCAGTTTAGGAAAACATCTCCAATGGGAGTAGATCATTCCTTCTTCCCCGTCAGCCAAATCTGTCGAGGTATGATGACTCTTCAGCCATGAAAAATAATTCTCAAAGACAATACGGATGTGAGGGACTAAGCCAGTTATTGTATTGAATGCCATTGCGAACCAGACAGAGACTAAAATAGGTGCAATGTCTAAGAGAACTTCGTCCTTGTAAAAATTTACAAGAAGTAAAAGAAGCGCCAATTGTTGACTGAAACCAAGAAATGACAGCAAGACACCCAAATAAAAGATAGCCTTAGCAGTATATTTGATCCTGATCTTTTTCATGTTTTGGCCGGATATATTGGGGTTTTCCGTTGTTGTATTCTCTGACCAACCCTCTATTCTACAATATTTAATGAATGAAGCTAACATATGGAAAACTGCCAAAGAGAAAAGAAAAGAACACCACAGGATTATTTTGATATACACACTGCGTCCTGTAGCTTCTATGTCTATCTTGTGGCCTTCGACAACACATTCCGCTGTGTTCAGCCTCGGATCCCGTATCCCTGGTGATATGGCCAGATCTTGAAGCTGAAAAATACCAGCATAACTTATAATTAATCAAAATTGTGTTAACTTAAAATGATGGACAGCGAAGGGACAGTTAATAGTGGCTTACGTAATGCCACTTACCACCAAGAAGTATTGATGGGGGTGTATTGATGGGGGTGTATTGATGGGGGTGTATTGATGGGGGTGACCGTCCCGGAAGCTTTCAGGTAAATTTGACAAGGTGCTAATTAAATACACGCGATGGACTCGCAACCTGTCTCAGTAGCGTAGAAATCCTAACAAAACCTTTATAGACTTTTCTCTTTGTATTAGAGAAACGGTAAAAAATATGGACTGTGTGGGCTGCCTACCTCGAAAAACTTAACCCTGTTTTAATAGCACTACACTTTGGCTGAGATTATGACTGACATTAAGGGAGAAAACAATGTACTTACCGCTGAAAGAGCTCTTTTAATCGTTTCTTTAATTATTTTCTTTCTTTCATCCTCCTTCTTTGACACATTGCAGCAGAAATATGGAATAGCTATATTCAGTGTTTGAGTCCGAGGCGTTACAAGGATGGACCCGAGGGACAAAACTTCCAGCATGAGTGGTGGAACAGCAACATACAAGCAGGAAAGGCTCCAAGTGTACCGTGCCATGGGGTTCTCTGCCTTGATGGGACCATGTAAATTCACAAACACACGGACAGAAGAAGGCCTCCTGGCTGGATATAAAGCTGCCTCGATGTTAAAACTGTTGTCTGACTTTGCTAAGTTGTTATAAAGGTCGTCATACGTATGGATGCATGAGAGGGAATTGGTCGAGTCGTCACAGTTATTACTGAAATCTGCTCCAACACTGTGTTGACCGAAAACCAGTACCAGTTGGATAAGGGTAACTACAACAACCCTGAACCATTGAGGGGACATGCTCAGGTATTTTGATGCTTTCCTTTAACTGTCTGATCAGTTTCTGAAAGCATATGACGTTATTTTTATGAATAGAATAAAATGATTGTTTTATGTACCACGCATCACTATATATGTAAATTATTATTCAATAAATCGCGCCAGTTAAGACATTTTTCGCGAAAAAATCAGCCTAAGTCGATATGACATGGTTTTTTTTGGTAGTTTTGGTAATTTGTTGTTTCCATAAGGTCGTAGTAGTAGCAAGTATGATAAATATTGTAAGAAATAGACAAGTAGATGAGTAAAATATTTACAGTATGATGTAATGCAAAAGCGGGTACTAATTACAACGTGACAACAAACATCAAAGGTATGAACTAAAACGCTAGAAAAGTGTTACAACTTGTTAAGTTCAGGTTTGGTCTTGTTTATATGAAAACCTTCTTGGAGTTTTGAGTTGTTAGCAGAATCCAAAATACTAAAGCAAGAAAGGGACTATTTGTTCTTACAAGAAGGAGATGTGTTCAAATGCTTAAAAATATGCGAGTTTTTAGCGCTTTTCGTGTGCTCCTTTATCCTAGTAGAGAAGTGGCGACTAGTTTCGCCAATGTAACGGGAATTACAACCCGCACAAAAAACTGGTAAACTACCATGGATTTTAGAGCATCAGGAGTACGATCTTTAACACTGAAAATGTTTTTAATTTTAAAAGAAGTGATAACTAGTTTGATACTGAGGTCCGATTTGCAAAAGCGCTTAGTGAGTTGTCGGAGTTTAAGGTTCGCTATTTTAGAATAATAGCCGACAAAGGGAAGTTTAAAGTAACGTGTATTATTTTCATCAATGTTCCGGGTATTTTTATTTTTCCGTTAAATGAAATTATTGATATTGCTGTTGATCTTATTTTCAAGCATAACCCTAAATTTTCCATCAAAAAATCCGACCTTAAGAAACTGTTTTCATTCGCTACAGCTGAGACTCATTTTCTTTTTAATGGAAAATTTTGTGATCAAGTTGATGGGGTAGCGATGGGTTCTCCGTTAGCACCCATCCTAGCTAATCTTTTTCTTGGTTTCCACGAGGAAACATGGCAAAATAATTTTAACCATTCGACTCGCCCTCTACTTTAGAGGCGTTATGTTGACGACACCTTTTTTGTCTTCCACAATGAACAGGATGCTATGTTATTTTTTGATTACATTAATTCACAGCACCCCAACATAAAATTCACTTTCGTAAAATAGAATGACGGTAAACTCTCCTTTCTTGATATATTTATCGACAACTCTTCGAATGATTGTGGTTTTACAGTTTCATAAAAAAAACTTACACTGGTCTCCTAACAAATTTCTTTAGCTTCATTCCATCATGTAACAAAATTGGCCTTATCCGAACTCTTACTGACCGTATCTACAAAATCAACAACACCTCTTCCGGCCTTCAAAACGATCTTAATAAACTTTCCGACACTTTAAAAAGTATTTCTTTTCCTCCGCATCTTATTGAAAGAATTTTCAAGCGGTATCTTGACGGGTCCTCCTCTCAAAATAGCCGGAACATTGATGACAATGATACACGTTACTTTAAACTTCCCTTTATCGGCTATTATTCTAAAATAGCGAACCTTTAACTCCGACAACTCACTACGCGCTTTTGCAAATAGGACCTCAATATCAAACTATTTTTCACTTCTTTTAAAATTAAAAACATTTTCAGTGTTAAAGATCATACTCCTGATGCTCTAAAATCCATGGTAGTTTACCAATTTTCTTGTGCGGGATGTAATTCCCGTTATATTGGCGAAACTAGTCACCACTTCTCTACTAGGATAAAGGAGCACACGAAAAGCGATAAAAACTCGCATATTTTTATGCATTTGAACATATCTCCTTCTTGCAAGAACAAATACTTCCTTTCTTGCTTTAGTATTTTGGATTCTGCTAACAACTCAATTGATTTAAAACTCAAAGAAGCTTTTTATATAAATAAGACCAAACCTGAACTTAACAAACAATTACACCATTATAACACTTTTCTGGCGTTTTAGTTCACACCTTTGATGTTTGTTATCACGTAGTACCCGCTTTTGTATTACATCATACTGTAAATATTTTATTCATCTACTTGTATGCTATATAATTACTCACGTTCAGTTACTCATTGATTGAAGATGGCATAAGCATGCCGAAACATGTCTCTCAAAAAAGTTGTCTATTTCTTACAATTTGTTGTTTATTTCCCTCTTTTTCAATGAGGAAAACTTCAGTGAGCTAGTTGACTGAAAGTTATCAATAATGGAAATAGTGCAACCCAGAATAGAATTATATCAAATTTGACTTGGTATGTTTCCTACCCTCTCACGGGGGACCAATTTGACATGGTATGTTTTCTACCCTCTCCGGGGGGCCGATTTGACTCGGTATATTTCCTACCCTCTCACGAGGGGCCAATTTGACTTGGTATGTTTCCTACCCTCTCCGGGGGGCGAATTTGACTTGGTATGTTTCCTACCCTCTCACGAGGGGCCAATTTGACTTGGTATGTTTCCTTCCCTCTCACGGGGAACCAATGCTCCAAACATCAGTTTTAGAAATACGTTACGCTGGCAAATTCACATTACCAGCTTGGTTGATAAAATCAAATTAATTTTCTTTGCTGTTTGTGGACGTTGTTTAGTGTTTTTTAGACCTAACAATTCTTGTCGTATTCTTGAAATAGTGGAGTTGAATACCATCGTTAAAAGACGTGTCCTTAAATTTTCTCAAATGCGCGCAAAGAACTCGTCTTGTTCCATACTGACGAACAAAAAATTAAAAGAGTTTATGAGTTCTGATCTTCTCTTTAAAATTGTTACTCAGATTAAAAGCACTTAGATTGCAATTGCATTACATCGGTTCTTTCAAGAGTATTACCGCAGCTCATCATTCGTTTCATTTCTTTCCTTTTCGCTTTCGATTTCATTCCCGCGGACTAAGGACTACCCAAGGACTACCCCGTGAATTGTTCACAGTGCTTGATTTCACTCTGATATTTTGGGTCTTAAAAATGCTTGTATTAGCTATTCTTGCTCAATGAAATATCCAAAATAGCAAATTAACTGTCCCTTTATAGCATATTCTCTACCAACAGGTTTCAACAGAGGGAGACATAATTACACCTGCCTGAGCCCACCTCTACCTAAAAAGCTATAAATTGTTTAAGGTGAAGCCTGATTTGCACATGTCTTAGCGAAAACAGACACTCGCTATGACAAAGTTCGCTGCCCCTGATTAGTTCCATTCCTAAGAGACTTTTAACAACAAGAAAGGGAAGAAATCGGTATCTCTCGACGCACTCCAGATTTCTTATATTCATGGTAGCTGTTAATTGTGAATTAAACTTACTTATACATAACGAGATTGAATAACCTATGACGTTGGGGAAACAAAGAGGTTGCCAATCGTCTGTGATGATGATGTTATTGCTATTTTAGCTCCAAGACAAGCTTACTCTCTTAAGAAAAGTCATGATATAAAGAAAGAAAATACCTGAGTGTGAATTACGAAGTAGATTTCATTTATGACGCAGCAATCTGCTCGATGACACTAGAAAGGAGTTCAGGATACAATATTTTCACCTTGAAGGCTGCGGCGGTCAGGGCTTAACAGATGAAGTATATTTGAATAATCAGTCATGGTAGATTTCTTAGAAAGAAAACGGAAGTTAGACCAGACGCCGCCCTGCTTTGGCGCGTATGAACAGAATATAATTAAAGTTAAGAGTAACAGAGAGAAGTATAGTTACCATTTACTATTCTAGAGCTTTGTATCATTTAAGGTGCACCCTTAACTCATTTAATCTTGATTGAAGTTCATACTGCTGCCCAGAACATGCTTCGATGTAGGCAAGTGAGTTTTTTCCCGTCCTCAACGCTGAGAAAGCAGTTTTAAAAATTTCGTGTTCTTTCATTCTTTTCTTCGATTTGTAACCATTTTGTTTTTCTGCTTCTCCGCAGTGTCGTATGGAAAACGAAAAATGAATTTTTTTTCTCCGTGACATGCATTGAGCAACTGGAGTTGAATTAGAACAGGTCCTGCGCTGCTGTAATGTCTGCCAGGTGCCAGGTAGCGGGATGAAACTTCTGTAAAGCAAAAAATGGAGAGCCCTAAACTTTCTCAATTTTTCCTTCTTTTATTTTTTGATGCTTGCTTCTTCTTTCTCTTCTGGTTCTTATAATGTCGATTTATACCAACTGAACTCCTACAACTAATTAGTAGTGCGGGAATATTTCTCTGTCTTTTAGGCTAATTTGCGCTCTTGCATGCTAATCGTGAGTCTTGACTTTTCCTGATACACTTAAAAAGGAAACAAATGAAAGAAGTCTTAACATCCAAAGCTAGTTTATTGGTTAAAATATCCAAGTGTCATTTATTTAAAAAATTAAGAAAGTTAGATGCTATTTCTCTCCTTTGAGGGTCTCAATGGGGTTAACCAATAGCCGTGTATCCTTTAGGCCTAAAAATTAGCATTTTGTAACTGCTAGTCGTAAAAAAGGTTAACCGTAACATTTTTCTCTCAAATACAAGGAATTGAAATTAACTGTTAAACTGTGAAATGGCCAACATTTTAACAGTTAGCCGTAAAAGCCATCACCCAATTGATACCCTCTTCTATGTAGTTGAGTAATTTTAATAATAAGACTCAATAAAAATCAATTAAAAGTCTCCCGATTTATATAATTTTCTACATGTCAATATAAGTAACTGAATACACCAAGTGGTGACTCCTTTAATAAGGGTGTGATAACCGTTCACACTACAGCTATCCCATTCATAGATGTGCTCAGTGTTAAGAGGGGTACAAAGTAACAAAGTATTATCATCTCTGAACCTTTTCTTCCAGTTATAATAAAAACTTAACATGACATCGATTCCTTGTTTATTATTCCGCACGTATGCACTGAATCAGCTTTAATGCCGGAATTATTAATTGTCGAAAGTCGCTTGCTTTTATAAAATCTTATGTTACAACTAACCGGCATTTAGTAGACACAAAATTACCTAAACAGCATACGTAAGGAATTTCTAAAGAAATTGCTATATTTGTACCGAATTCTGGCTTTCCATTCCTTTACTTTTACTAGTTAGATTATTAAAATATCTCTACCCCCAAAGAATTTTTAAGAAATTCTTTAAAGAATACTTAAATGTATCTAGATAATTGTCAGTACGTCACCCTAGAAATCTCCCAAAAACTGAATTTTCATCTAGCGACGCAGTTCTAATATTTTTACACTGAACTTTCTATTTGTAAGAGAGGCTGAGTCTCGCTGCATGCAACAGTTTCGTTATTTTCGTTCAGAGGATTACCTATAAGAGGTGTAATGGGCGTGTCGCTGGATGGAGGCGGGGCTTGCTCGTTTTTTAACGTTTGGTTAGTTTTTAAAAACCTCTTCCAAGAAAACCAGGAGATAAAGGAACCAAGAATAGTCAACAACGCGGTCTTAAGCATTTCATCTGCGGTTTCTCTTGCATAGAATGACTGTCCGGCAAAAACTGCTATTATTATCAGACCAATTACAATCAGAAAACTAAACGTACATGCAATTAGAGCGGTAGGTTTAGCAAATTTTTCTTCTGGTCGCCCGCTTGTCAAAGAGTAGTATACGTAGGCTGTATAAATGAAGGCAGCATAAGTGAAGTATATTATGAGTGCAACGGTCAAACCCCAAGTTGGGTTAAGCATTATGCCGATTAGCATCCAACAGGAACTGAATATTATAAAGAATGCGTTAAGACAGTATGGCATTCTGGAGAGCGAAACGTGATCATTTGACGTCTTCCCCACATATTCTAAAAATTCGCCAGTACAAGTGCGGTGATGTACGCAGTGCACAAGACCTGACATAAAGAGGAAAAATGCCAATGAAGGATAAACCCATCCAAAAGAGGGAGCATCCCATGGCTTCCTTCTTTCAAGCATCTCAACGGATGTCATTAGAGGAATTAAAAGCAAGAAAGAGAAACTGATATAAATTAACACCGTGTTGAGAATAAGGAAGGCCTTAACTGTGTTCGTGATTCGCCTTTTTTCCCTTGTATTCAAATGTCGACTCTTTACATACAAGAACCAAATATCTTGTATAAATTCTTCAAGCAATAGAACTAACGCTGGACTACCTAACCTAGCAACTATAGGAGGAAACACCAAAAGTATTATAATAATGTGCAACTTGCTTCCTATATCTGTCATCCCTAAGCCGTGGCCCTTGGTAACACATTCTGCTGTGTTCAGCCTTGGATCCCGTATCCCTTGTGATATGGCCAGATCTTGAAGCTGAAGATTAACAACAACTTTCATCAATAGTAAAACGTAAAATGAGTAGAAATAAAGGAACAGCTGTTCACATGTAAACAGTTGGTTACAGTGATAGCAGACATCGTCAACAACAAAATCTTTTGTAACAATGAAAGAGAATCGTTGAAGCAGGAGACAACCTCAGGATTTTCTCTTTGGGCATTTACGGGTAAGGTGCCTCCAGATGTTTCAGTTCTTCATATTTTCACCTTCTCCCACAAAGCGCAATGCAATTTCCACGCAAAGGATTGAAGGAAATAATTCAGAGCTCAACTAATGCTCGATTAAATCTCACCGATAAGGATTCGCCCACAAGATTAATTTCTCTCGTCGTGGAGGAATAAAAACGAGGACTGCCGATTTACCTTCCTAAAGGCGTACAAGAGCTATGAATTTTTATTTTTCTCCCCTAAGAAAGACATGGGACTTTCGGCGATACTTTGATTGTTAATCAGTTTTAACTCGTGTTCCTCGAAAGACGGACAATTTTTCACTTACTGAAGCGTGAACTCTTTCAATCATGTCTCCTATTGCCTTCCTTCTTCCATCCTCTTTCTTTGAAACATTGCAGCAGAAGTGTGGAATCGTTATGTCCAACGCTTGAGTCCTAGGTGTTACAAGAATAGATCCGAGGGAAGCAATTTGCAGGTAGTATACTGGAAGAGCAACATACAGACAGGATAAGCTCCAAGTGTACTCTGCCATGAGGTTTTCCGTTTTGTTGGGACCATAAAGATTAACAAACACACGGACAGAGGAAGGCCTCTTGGCTGGATATAGGGCTGACTCGATGTTAAAACTGTTGTCTGACTTTGCTAAGCTGTTATAAAGCTGCTCATAGGTATGGATGCATGAAAGGGAATTGGTCGAATCGTCACAATTATCACTGAAATCTGCTCCAACACCGTTCTGAGCAACGAACAGCACTAGTTGGATAAGAGTAACTGCAACAGCCCTGAACAACAGAGGGGACATGTTTGAATATATTGATATTCTTTCTTTTCTGTATGGTTTTCTGAAAGTAAAAGGCAATACTTAGCCATTTATTAGAATGTATAGACCACTAGATGTCCTTACTCTTCGTCAATGCACCTCACTCCCAGAGTTCTGCGCAGCGCGCCAAACATCATTTCTTTTCTCTCTTTAACTCTTTTTACTTAGCAGAATTCGTCCTGAAAGGATATATAGATATCTATATATGGTTTTTCGGAGACCAATCTAGGAAGAATGTTCTTAAATATTGTTGACAGATACTTCCCGATAAACTATCCATTACACAAGATCTTCAACCGCCACACACTAAGGATAAGCTACTCCTGCATGCCTAACGTCAAAACAATCATCGCGTCACACAACAAAAAGCTACTATCAGATTACAACCAGTCACAAAATTCACCAAAAACACTAGACAAAGAATGTAACTGCCGGAAAAAAGACCAATGCCCCCTAGAG